GTAGCCAGATTGTATTGTTGCAAAACAAATATAGACAATAGAAATCGAACATTATAACATAAAGAAGGGATATACTGTCAAGTGTTTTACAACGCTTTAAATCAGACAAAAGAAGCGCTTGAAAAGTGTATGTTAACATCGTTTGCACTTTTATTTTGATAAATGTTTCATCCGGCAACATCGCACAATGAAATTGCAAAAGAATATGTCAAGTATAATCTAACAAAACCTTAAATGACACTGCGGTGAGTTCAAGTAATATGTAAAGTATTAGTTTGCTCTTTGTCGCATTATACTTTACAAAGAAAGAAGGAACAATTCATTCTGAACTGGCTCCTGAATAAGAATATGACGCGAACCTGTAACAAACTTGCTTCTCATTGGACGCTCACCTGCAACCTACAAGCGACGCGCGCAGTCCAGGTAATAGGAGATCGGTCTATTCTAATACGAAGTAAGTTTGACGTCAAATTGACAAGTGTTTCTAACGGCCATTTTGAAATTCAAAGTCAATACCACTTTTCTACTTAAAATGACGTCAAACTCACTTCGTATTAGAATTATTGGGCTTTAAAATGTATCCCACCGAAATAAGAATTCAAATATTAGAATGCTATTTACTAAATAATAAGTCAGCAGAACTAGCTCAAAGAGCAAATAAGCTTCCAAATAGAAATTTGCCAAATAAGCGAACGTTTCTGCGAATCTACCAAAAATTTATGGAAAATGGGGGTGTAGGGCCAAAGTTAAAAAAACGACTAAATCAAGTCCTCACCGAAGAAAAGCAATTAGAAATTGTGCTCAGTTTTGAAGGAACGCCCGAGCTATATACTCGAGAAGCATCCTTGATTACTGAATCAAATTGCAAGCCCTACAAATTGCAAGCCCTACAAATTTCTGCCTGTCCAAAAGCTTGAAGAACGGGAATACAATAGCCGATTGGCGTTTTCCATGGTTATGATGGAGAAGCAATTTAATAATGATTTTTTTCGTAATATCCTCTGGACCGATGAGTCAATTATCACATCATCATCAGGAATTTTTAACAGGAAAAATAAGCTTGCATTGCTGAGAATGGGGGAATTGTTGAACATATTTTACAATTAGTACGACGAGCGAAATTTGATCGTGGCGCCATCTAAGACTAGGATTCAACACTAAACAGCACTTTTGCTGTATTTAGTGATGACCATCTAATAGGCCGACCAAAAATCAGATAGTTGGGAAGACCCAGAATAGGGAAAACAAGTTTTCTCCTATTATCCACTGATGTGAAAATTTTGGATTAATTTTCTGGCTAGGAAAGCAAAGAAAACCAATCCAAGTTTAGTGCCTGTAGGCAAAATGGAAGTAGTACGACGAGCGAAATTTGGGTCTATTCTGGGTCTTTCCAATTATCTGATTTTTGGTCCTAGTCTTAGATGGCGCCACGATCAAATTTCGCTCGTCGTACTACTTCTATTTTGCCTACAGGCACTAAACTTGGTTTTCTTTGCTTTCCTAGCCATACTGACGAGACCTGATAAGTCGAAACGCGTCTATGGATGGAATAGCAGAGAAAATTAATCCAAAATTTTCATATTTTACAATAATTAAATGCGCCTTTAATGATATAGATTAGTTTTTTACTTTTACTTTGTCCTAAAATAATATAAAATTAAATCCTTAGATGTACCTATATAACGTTTGTATTGTGAACTTATTGTAATGGAGAATAATGGTCTAAAAATATAAAAATATAGCCCCCATCGATTGTATTTTTAAAAAAAAATTACATACTGATACATAGGTAAAAACAGTAAAAAATCAGAATTATTTTTGAAAAATACAAATAAAATCAAAACGGTTGAATTTAGGTATTGTTTGCCCAGCGCAGAGATAAATACTATATAAACTGTCGAGAATGGAATCTCAGTATGAATTTTGTTGTCAACAAAATTGAGCCAAGCCTGCGCCATCTACCATATCGGAAAATCACTATTTACTAGTTTTGCATCGATGCTACAGACACCTACTTTACATATGACTTTTTATGCTAGATGGCGCCCTGTTCGTATTATTGTCGGTCTGTTCAAATTCGTTTATTCTAGACTTTCGGGCATTAATGTTTGCTTAAATTAATTGATAATTTGTTAATTAGACCAAAAGACAGTTTCTCTATCGATGGTTAAGGGTATCCTTAACATATTTATTCAAAGTTCTGATTGATGTTTAATTGAACCTGTCATTTATTTAATCAACAAAGATCAAAATAGATATTCCAATCTATAAAGTTTGAAGTTCTTCTTGAAACACACAAAACAACTTTGAAATCACTTAAGAACACTTCACAACACAAAGAAAGATGAAATGCAAGACCGGCGTACAAAAAACATTATGAATTATTTGTTTTAATCAAATGAATATTTTGGCATATTGTCATATGTTGACATGTCAGTTATCGACATCGGACGTGTTCTTGATGTGCACTGGTATTTTACAATTTTGACAATTTTGTGGTTGTCAGCGACATCTAGAAAAACGGAAAAGAGTTATTATGTGGTTTATAACTGGCAATGAGAGATCGCAGGGCCTGGCCCAGCGGATCTGAGTATACGGAAGGAATTCGGACGTAAATGTGCCATGTTGTCACGTTTAATTATAAAAAAGCGAAAATACTAGGTATGAAGTATAGTTCATTTGAAAATCCATTTTTTAATAACAAAATATAGATACCAATAATACGCTAAATATTTCAACGTGGTTGTTAGATCTATTCTTATTCTAATAACTGATTTCTTGAATTTTGTCCATTGTAAAAAATAAACATTTTCTAAAGATACCATCAGTTTTTGACAATTTGGCAAGCATCCGGCCTGGATGAACCTGATTGGTGGAGTTTTTGGCAGGATGGCCGTTGCCACGGGAAACCATGCGGTTGTCAATGAGCTAATGTCACCTTACGTCTCGCTATTGGCTAGGGTTTCTGTCATTTTATCCTCCCATCTTGGAAATCGATTTATATTGAAATATCCAGTGGCGGGGGTTTGGTCATTGTCGATTTTCGTGTAGGAGTTGTAATACGATAACACTTCCAAAAAATTCCGCACGCAGCTGGGTATTTTATGAATGAAATCAGCCATTTTTTTTTACAACTGTATTCCCCTTACCGTTGCCCCGTAGACACAGAGTCGCTGGGCACATTATATAATGTCTTCTACAAAAAAAGTTTGTTTTCAAGAGTACTTTTCATCCCCCATTAAATATACACGGGTACCATTTAAAAAATTAAAAACAATGACAATTTTCAAATTTTGGCTAAATGAACTTATTTTTTACAATTAGTTCACAAAGTAGACGATGTATGTTTCCCTTTGGTCAAAGTTCGGCTTTAAAATATTTATTTTCAACGTTTTTACAATAATAAAAATTGGTCGTTCCTCTAAGATAACTGTAGAGAAATCTGAAACCGTGCATGACAACTCTATCAAACTATATATATTTATATTTGTCTTGAAAAGCGCTATCAAAAGATATAAAAATATACTGGGTGTTCCATTAAAAAAAAAATCTGACGTGTCACACTTTTTTGGCACTCCCTGTATATACGCAAATACAAAAAAATAAATTATTGATTTAAACCCTACAACTTTTGTATTTGACTTTTTGTCATAAAATATCTAGATTTCCATATACCGAGATGGGACAAAATAAACGGGCCACCCTGTACATATTTATTGTAAGTTTGGTGTGGTTGTACAAGTCCAACGCAGCTCTCGGAATCATTCTTCAATTCCACAGATAATTTGTTCGGTGTTGCCTTCTATTTTCTCAGTCCTTGTAGCTTTTATGGACATGGATTTTGGACCCTTGGGTTTGGACAGTACAAACTCTGACTGAATAAATCTATACCCAAAATAAACTTATTCTTTATATCAGTAATCAGCACTGTGTGACAGATCTTGGTATTTCCTAAACTCAGGTCGATTTCTGTTTCTCGACGTATATTTGCGGTCACTTCAGTCACTGTGCGCAGAATAACTCCCCTTGAAAGTAGCTTTGCATCGAACTTTTCGGCAATGTTGGAATTTAGTAGAAATACGGCTGCGCCAGTATCCAGGCAGCTGATATTTCTCCCATCAATTTTTCTTTCAATAGTTAAACTGTCTGCAGTCTTTCCTAGCATTTAGATGGATTTGATCCTGGGGTTTCACTTGCACTAGTCAACACCTGCCCCGCCGTGTTGACTAATTGAAGTTTTCCTGGTTGGCTTTTGTAGGCGTAGAGCGAGATCCTAGAGCCGTCCTCTACGGTCACGATGGTCCCTTTCTGACGCAGCGGTAATATTCAATGCCCGCTTTCCAGTTCCCTTGATTGCTTCTGAACCCCATTCGCATTTCTTCCAGAATTTCCTTCATTGTGTCTTCAATTTTTCCCACTGGTTCTTGTTCCTCTTGTATTGACACAGCTCTGATCTTTGGCTTGGATATCATATATGCGGCTTCAATTTCTAGGGTTTTATTCCAGACGCTTTGCTGCTATTAGATTGATTGACCAGCGTTCTCTGTGCGTCCATAACTCGAACTCCATTTATGAAGTTTTCGGCCGCTAGATGGTTTCGTATCTCTGCTGCTGCTGCTTCGTGGTAGGCCAAGTAACAAGACGGCAGATGTAGGTATCAAATTCTTGTAGAATTTCTGCAGCATATTGAATGGTTTTAGTTGTTCCTGGTGAAGCTGCCTTTGGTGTTGTTCTGTATAAGAAGACGCTCCAACGCATGAGTATGAAAAGCTTTCGTAAAACTATTTTATGATACGATGCTTAAAAATTGTTTTATAATTTTCGCTTGGCAAAATAATACCGCAGATTGGAGTAGTTATTTTTTAAACTTTTTGTAAAAACATTTTTGCAACTGTTATAAAATAAAAAATTTCGAAATAAGCGAGTTATGGAAATTAACCCTCAGTTAGCATATGCACCTGATGAATGATAAGCTCTAGACTAGACAGCAAATTACTTACCGGAAATGGAAACTTTCAAGGTTTTATCTGACTGAGACTCATAAAGCCAATCAGCAGCGTCTCTTTTGGGCGTGAAATGGGGCCAACCAAATTCTCCATCTTCCGTTGTTGAGGCGTTTCGTAACTTTTCTATGGCCCAAGCTGCAGTTGCACTTCTGACCTAGTAAATAATGAAAATACGAAAGATTTATTTAAATATTTTACGAAAGGCTATAGAACTTACCAAGACTAGTGCCAAAGTTACTGCAGCAATTGTTTCCGGTGATTCGACATTTGGCAAACTATTCTCTAAGAATATTTTAGCCTTCTGCAGGGTATCTGAGAGCAGAAAAAAACGTGAATATTCTTATAGAGAATAAGTCTCTAATGACTACGATTCATATAAGTAACAAAAATAAATTAGGTATTTAGCCATCAGCCAAATAGTGTATATATCTAGAATCATTGGGACTATTGGGGGGAGAATTTATAAAAAAGCCATAGTCGGGCTCGGGCTCACATATTTAGGTCTAGGTGAACACAAGTAGGAAGGTATGTCAAGCCAACTGGGATAGGAACCCGAGAAAGAAATGCGAAAATGAAGTAGAAGTAAGTAGTAGATAAAAAAAGCAGAGGATATCGAACAAAAAATAAATATAAAAAATAGGACTACGTAAGGGACTATGCAATTTTAGGTATGACATTTGTATTTTCATCGACTTCCAAACTAAATAAATCAATTCAAGAAAAAAGCTCAGATTCCTTTTTCGGTGGCTTTTATCCCGGATATAGAAATACTTATTATAGAACCGCAATTTACCTGAATCGGCATCGGTTTCTATTCCGATATCGTAGAGTGCGATCACCGTTTCGGCCGTAATCTCGACGATGTTTTCGAGATGTGCGACCTCCGAACTTTGGATCTTGCTGACGGATCCATCTGAACTGAAAATCATAAAAGTGAACGTTCAGGTGACAGGTCGAGAATTTATCTTATTTGAGGTAGGCAACCTGCATATTTTTTTTGTTCATCAGAATGTTTATTTTTACCTTTACCTTTATATTGAAAAATGCCAACATTTAAATTTATCCTTTATTTTTTATATTTATATAGCATTTCAGTTTTTGAACTAAATAGATGCTGAATTCTGTTAATTTACTTCTCAGTATTATTTTATAAAATTCAATTTTTATGCAATCCACCTATTTAATGGAACTTGTAATAGAACACAACTTGCCATCATACATTTCTCGGAAAATCTGTACCTGTTCAATATGGGCAACTTAACATCAGCATCCAAGGGCATAAACCGGCCATCGTCCTCTTGACGCAGCTGCACCCAACGTTTAATCGCCTGAATAAGGTCTGGATCTACATTAAAATAAAGCTGCACTTTCGAAAGAGCTTCCAATATAGAAACTGTCGCTCTATGGCTGCCTAGCATTGGATGTTCACTAAAAGAGTCGTCTTCTTTTTTGAATGAGAGGATTGACTGAATCTGTAAAAGAGATAACTGTTAGGTCCTGCATTTTGCAATAGTTTTGTATATATCTAGCAATAATTGTGTATATATCTACAATAATTGTGTATATAGCAACAATTATTTTACTAACTTTTCCTGGAAGCATTTTGACAACCTCCAATTTCTCAGAGCTGTTGATTCCCATATTCTCCAAGGATTGTATGCTTAAAAGTGGTGTCAACGAAGCTAAGGCAGCAACAAGACCTCCGCCATTTATTCTGTCTATTCTAGGGATTGCTAGGCCACCAGAAATTGTCAGTTCACCTCGTTCTGAGCCTGGCACTGCTTGTTTGGGAGTCTCTAGGTGTAACACTTGGCTGAATCCGGATTCTTCGTTGAAATTCCATATCCTAAAAAAAGAAGTTTTTCTTGAAATTATTGTAATGACCAGAAATTATTAGGTAGGTAAGTACTAAAATTTTATATAATTTCTGGAGTCGGCCAAATTTAGATATTGAACAAAAATTAAATTTGATATTTTTGAGAATATATTGCCGGGATTTTGTAGAGTACTGACCGCCGGGGGGTACCTAAGTCTTCTGTTCAAATAACACTGAATTGTGGTCCAAAAATTGATAAAAAATGGCATTATGCTTTAAATATTGTCTCTGGTCAATATTTTAATAAATAATAAAAGATCTCTTATTCCCTAAATATCTATCTACTGAAGACGATACGTAAAGGTCAGATTATTTTGTACACATCATCACTCTTGTCAAATTCCCTCTTCCATACAGGATTTTCGTCCTCGAAAATACAATATCTATACCTTCGGCTTCAAATACGTGGACCTTTTCCCATTTCTCTGTGATTATATTTCCTATCTGTATTTATTTTTCATAATCAGTTGACCCTTTTCTGATGTTCTTTATTGTCTGAGACAAGGTCTTTTGGTCTTTACCTGATCGTCAATTCTAAGTTCATCATCCAAAACCGGTCCATGTGTTTCGAGTTCTTCTAAATCTGAATCAGCTACATTACATGCAACTCCTAAGAAAGATTTTGGAGTTTTTCTATTTCCGGTGGATCTTCGATTCTATATATGTTTTAGTTCTATTATACCTCGGCCTCTGTTTCTGTTGATCTCTCAATATATTTTGTAGCATTGCGAGTGCTATAGCATTTGTAATACCCATTTAGAATAACCTCATCCTTATTCATCAATCATGAATCAGATGAAACAAAAAATTACCAACAAAAACGAACGTCGATTGCTAATACGTCAATTTCATCTACAAATAGGAAATTCCTAACCTCATTTTATTTGTGTGTCGAGAAGCGACATACGTTTTGTCACTAAAATGACAGGTACTTCTAAATAGGTATTAAAAATACTATACTTGTTCTTTTTTCTTTCAAATATAATTCTATAAGTTAATTATTACCTTCAGTGTCGACAGTCAGGTGACTAGCATTAAAAAAAAGGTTTCTGCTGCTAATAATATTAGCAATTATTGAACAACAAGGCACAATTTTCGTTTAAGTTTGAAGTACCAGTTTAGTACCAACACTTTCCGTTGGTTGTTTTTTGGGGGAAGCTCTAACTGTTCATCTTGTCCATTTCTGAGAAGCCGTTTCTTTTAACGAATCCATTTCCAAAAAGCCCACATTTTTAAAAGTTCACCATTTTCGTGGAGCGTAGCATGAGCTTTTCAAGGGATTCCTAGAGGAATCAAGTCCCTCACGTATTGACTCATGTATCTTCACATTTGATGACAACTGAGAACTTCTAGCCTCTATCAACCTTGATTTAAGGCTAGAATCTGCAGCTTCCATGTGCAACTTGCCTCGTCAAGTGACAGAAAATGGATGGCTTGATGGCTACCGTAATCCACCTTTTGTTGGAATGGAGGCTTGTATAAAGTTTCATTGATAACTTTTAATATTATTTTTTTCTCTCTATGAAACCTATTTTATGATCAACTAACATAATTGATTGAATTTCACTGATATGACATTTGAATAAGTATTTAAAATTTTATTTTCGCAATCTTGACACCGAGGAGATGGTGGAATAATGAATTTTCTGGATTTTCAATTTATCGAATTTATTATAGATTTATCTTTATTTAACTTTCAATATTGCCATGTTTAGGAATGTAAATTTTATTATTCATAATCAATAATCTGAACTGAATTTAAGGTTGGACAGCATGCTCTAAATTTAGAATTATTGAGTAAGTACCTATATCGTCGAAAATTGATCAATTTTTAACCTGGGTCCTACATATAACTTATATATTTGAGGGTTTTTATCATATCTCCTGACCATTTAATCCAACTTTTGATTTCATACAGGTGCAAGTTGATTTTATTGAATTTATTCTTTAAGCAGAAGCTGGCCATATTTATCAATACAATTTTTTTAATTACGTTTTCTGGGAACTTAAATCTTTTATATTTTCATCTCTCAAAAATGATATGGCCAGCGAATGTTAATGAACTTATATGGAAAGTATATTGAGGTAAATTGAAATATTATTATATATTTTTTTTTAATTTGAAGAATCTGATTGAGAGTTAACCTCTATTTATTGATTTTATTTAAAGTGTTTTAACAACAATTGACTTTATATTTTAAAATTATTCAATACTTGATTATTGACCACATTGTAAAAATATATACCTAGATATATACTATGTATTTTGATTTGAAAATTGCTTGAGTGTTTTATTGGTTTTACCTGTGTCAAGATTTGGTTGACTTACATGCCTTATTTATTTCCTTTTCAGAATTATCAATTACCGTTTGCGGATAATTTTTTTAGGTGTGTTTCTGAATTTTCACACTTCAATATTTTATGTAATTTAATTTTATTTAAAAATCAGTGGCGCCCTTGCTATTCTGTACTTATTGAACCCACCCCTAACAATTATTCGCTGAGCAAACTGAGCATATATGGGCATCCTGTTAATTTATTGTTTGTTGAATGGTAAATTTCTTTTAATTCTAAACTAAACATAGGAAGTCAATTCTATGGCTCGCTGAAGCGCATTATTAAAGGGGGTGTGCGCCAAAAATTAAAGTTTTAGTGTAAAAAAATCTAAGAATAACTGTTCAAACCCCGTTATTCTATGATAAACCATCGCTGAGATATACCGCTTCAAAGTGTGGACGACGCTCTCGTGACGTCACGAGAACTTCATCCAGCCGCGCGCCGCATTGTTAATTTGATTGTTCCCGGCACGCGTGAGTGGTTTTTGTTTAGATTATTGCAGGTAACACAGGAAAAACATATGTAAATTTAATTAACTCCACTTTCTCGTGCGTCGCTTGTGCTTTCGTGACGTCATAGGGTGAGATGCGGTACCTTCATAGAGCCATATCTGCGGTAATATTTGTCATAGAGGGGTGCGGATTTCACTGTTATAGCCTTATTTTGACATCTACGCATGCGCAATTGGGTCCGAAAATAAGGATTCCCTTAACAAGGTTACTGCTTGTCTTTATTTGTATATGGTTAGTGCGAGGCAGTAAACTTCCCTTATTTTAAATTTCTGACATTTTGGACGACTTTGACCTTCCGCTTTTCGACGATGACGTAATTTTACTTAGAAAATTTATTTCTTACAGTAGTTTTCCATTTTACTGTGGGTAGCATCAAAAAATGGGTATCAGCAGAAAATCACAAACAAAAATAAACACTTTTTGAGGTTGAAATTTATAAACATAGCTATCAGCTGTCAAAATTATGAATACAAAATAAGGTAATACCCTAGAACCTACTACAATCTTCCAATAACTGTTTTTTTTTCTTGGAAAAATAGTGCTGATACACTAATAAAATAACGTAGATCCTTAAAGGCCCATCCTCAATCAATTTGGTAGCGAAGTGGCACTTCGGCACGCAAGCTAGCAAAATGTTGTTTAACATTGGCATCCTCAATTCAATTCCGTGCTGGCATGCACGCCGACTCCGAAGTGGAAGCTTGCAAGCTTTTTCGATGCGTGCCGACTTATGTCATGCGCAGTACGGTGAAAAATAATTTAGGTTATCCTTGCGTTCGGTAGTTTGCTCAAAGAGCAGAGCGTGCAGAGCGAAGCCGTAATCACGTGACCAGCGAGCGCACAGAGTAATTAAATGCTGTATCAGAGGTTGTCCATGATCAGAGGGCTCGAAATTTTATTAAACGAACATGAATGAGCCTACACCGAGTACACTTTTTAAATAAACGAACGGTAAATTCATGCTCGGAGAACTCAGATCAAAATACCGAACGCACGGTATGTGACTGTACTACACGCACAGCAGACTGAAAATTGACCGCATTGAGAATCCTTGTGGGTATCAATTTCCCAGCACGCGTGCCAAAGTGCCACTTGGCTAGCAGATTGATCGAGGATGTAGCTTAATACTGCGAGGTAGTATTTATTAGTTCCAATAACTCTCTATTATTATTAAAAAATGTGTATTAGGGCCGCGTTAATGGCCGTCATGTTTAAACTGTGATTGGTTGATTTTTCGAAACTTGTTTTAAGGTCTTTGAAAAAACGGCACATCAGAATTGACTCTTTGACATAAACATTATTTGATCGATTATCTACAATTCCTTATTTTGGTTTTCGATATTCAGCCTTTTTTTTTTAAATTCAAAAATCATGTTCGCAACCACCAAAACAACTAAATGTGTCGGTGATTGCATATTTGCATGTTTATCAAGCTTGGATCCCTGAAAAGCATATTTTATTGATAACCACGAAAAACTAAAAAAAGCTAATTGTAGAGATTGTAGATAATATATCAAATAATGATTACCTATGCCAAAGGATTTTGGAAATTATTGCGGATTTTTTGAGATAACCTTAAAACGAATTTCGAAGGTGAAAAAAGTTCAAGCAATTTCAAGTAGATGGCGCCACTGCAAAAAAGCTACATTGGGAGCATCATAGTTGTATATTTGTCTTTCTCTGTTACTAAGTGTTTCACCGACAAACAGATTTTATTTTGGACAAATAATAAAATATTGAAACCGTATGTGTAGAGTGACGCAGTCGTCATTTTCAACAACTAAATTTAAACATGGCGGTCATTAACGCGGCCTTAATGACGCGTATTCGATTGTGTGACACTTGTATGACACAATCGAATAGAAACTTTCGTGCTTTCCACAGGTGCTTTCATCGTCTGCATGATGCGAGACTGTCAAAAGCACAGATTGTCAAAAGCGACGTCTGTCAATAGACGGGTCGACAAAAAAAACATGTTCTGTGCAAAACATAGAACATGCATATGTACCATCGTCACCAAAAGTATCTGGGACACAAATAATGCATAATAATCTCCTGGACTAATTCTACTGTCATTCCTTTCAATGCATTTAATTCATAGTTTGACAAATATTTGTCAAT